CTTTAATAAATAAATAAAAGGAAAAAAAAGAAAGACAGCAAAAGGTTGCTAATGTTTTTTCATTCCTTAAAGCTGTGTGTACCCTTCTGGCTACCATGCCACCATTCCAGTGAGTTCTTTGGTGGCTCACACTCTGCTCCTCTCTGAAGCAATGACTCTAAGACAGTTGTTGACTTGGCCTGAGTGGGCCTACATGGAGGCCATCTGAGGCTGCTCAGATGGGAGGGGAAGGTTTTAGGGCCTTGATTTGTCAGCATAAAAATCATGCAACAAGTAAAAAAAATAAGTTATATTCTGACTTTGGATTCTGCCCATTTTCCTGACCCAAGACAACGCAGGTGTATCGCTCAGTTCAGCACAAAAAATGGCTGCATATCCAAGAGGAAACAGGAAATTAAGTGCTCCTTCTATGGCAGGTCTGCACCACGTGTGGCCTGACACTGCCTTGGCATAGTCTGTTCCACTCCACAGTGCTGGCCATTCCTGCTGGAGGCATCAGAAAAGTAGAAACTGAGGTTAAAATCTCTGGTTTGATTAACAGTGGCTACCATCTCCCAACTTTCACCCTGAAGAACCAATGTGACTTGTAACTTGCTTTGATGCCTCTGGGTCCTGGCCCACAATCTGATTGAGAGGCCTAGGATATGTCAAGCAATTATTCTATAGTTATCAGTTCAATAATGATGGAGAGGTCTAGGCTGCTGAGACTTGAGCTGTGGCTGCTGAAGGCATCCCCACCCTCTGTACTTTAGCAATGGGGGGAAGACAAAGTTCATGGTGTGAACAGTAAAGAAAGGAGAGGGACATTTCTAGCAGCCTATAGACTTCTGGCTTCCAGCCTCAAGAGGCAGCTCTGCTCTGAGCAGGGATGGGCTTGCTTGCGTTGAGATCAGCACATTTTTCTTTTTCAAAATTCCTCAAGGAGGTCTAATAACAGAAACCTTTCCATTTGGGGTTGGTCACAGATCTTCAGCTTCAGAGTATTTTTGGTGCTTTTATATCTACGTCCTCATTACTTCCTGCTATTCCTGAATCAAGATGTAGCCACCCCAGTGCTGTAAGCCAAGCTCCCCATTATTTCAGGCCTGGCCAAACAGGCAGACTTCTCTTCTTTAGATGGCTCAGCCAGTATGAAACCTGCTTCCTGTAACTCCACCCCTCTTCCCCGTTAACACTCTCTAACATTTATCTAAACAAATATGTGCTTCTTCAGAGAGATTCCTTGAAGGGCAAGAATTTTCTTAGTTCAATTCCCTTGCTTAGCACCACATTTAACAGACAATAGACCTCCAGAAATATTTGGTAAATTAGTCAAATTAGAATCCATATCTTTGGCAGATCATCCATGATTAATGGGGAAAAAATAAATGTTTCTTGTTTTCCTTTGCTAGTAAGATCTGCAGCTCCCTGAAATGTTTAGCAATTTTAAGATGTTCTCTTCCCTGTGTCTTGGTGATTAGTGTCAATACTGAGTAGTTAGCTCTCCCTGGATATGGGATCAGGGACGGGGGCTTGGATTTCCCATGCTCACAATTGTCTCCTCTCCTACAAATTCAAATGTGTCTGCAATCTGAGTAATAGCCTGTGCTGGCATTGCATTGTACCTTAAGGCAAGACACACCTTCCTATATGGCAGTGGTTTCCAGCCTTCCTAATACTGTGACCCTTTCATACCATTCCTCATGTTGTGGTGACCCCCATCCGTAAAAATTATTTTGTTGCTGCCTTAGAGCTGTAATTTTGCCACTGTTAGAAATCATAATATAAATAAATTTCTGCATATCAGATATATGCCACCTGATGGGCTCATGATCCACATGTTGAGAACCCCTGCACTATATATTGAGAAATCACTCCTTAGTATAGGATTTACATTTGATCCAGGTAATTAGCAAATTTAACATATTTAATAACAGATTCTATGACACTCATTCAATGCTAAGCACTGTTCAGAGCATGTAATTATATGAACTAGTTCCTCCTCATAACAACCTTGCCAGGCAGACACAGTTACTGCCATTGGCCTCATTCATAGATGAGAACGTAAGAGTACAGAAAGGCTAAGAAACTTGTCCAGGGCCATTATAGGGATTGTCAGTGTCCTGGAATTCAGATCAGTCAGACTCCCTCCAGAACCTATGTCCCAAACACTCTACCCTCCTGCCTATTAATGTGAGAGGATCCATAGACTGCATATCTGACTCCTCCCTGTATGAGCTGGTTTTGCTTTTGAGTGAGTCAGGTGTTTGAGGCCTCTTCTACTTTCACTGAGAAACACAGATACCTGCTCAAGTGTCTCCAGGTTCACTGATTCATTGCCTGTGACTTGAAGATAGACGTGTGTGTGTGTGTGTGTGTGTGTGTGAGAGAGAGAGAGAGAGAGAGAGACAGAGACAGAGAGACAGAGAGAGACAGAGATAGAGACAGATCCTATGAAATTTGTATTCCCATTGTAATCAAATCAGTCCTGCCATTTGCCTCCTCAAAATGTATTTTCAAACAACTTAGGAACCATGCCAAGAATTCCTCCAATCCCACATTGTAACAGTTTTGAACCAAGAGATAACTTGAAGGTGAAATGTGTGTTATCTAAAATTATTAAACTATATGAAGTGAAGATGATACTGCCCCCAAAGAAAAGATGAAATAAATATGTCTCTTTTTCTTTATTTTTAATTGTTCTAGTGTTTAGAATCAGTTGAGTCATTTTCTCATAAATTTGGATATTTTACTGAATGGTTCAAATTTTGTGTTGTTCAGGAGACATCACTTAATGTTCAACCAGACAGAAGCAAATTCAAACGCTAGCCTGTATCCACATATGAAGAAAGGAACAGCACATAGATGACATCTGGTGGGGGAGCTGTGGCTTTGGTGAGGGGGCTGTTCATGTTACATTATTTGGATACTTTTGAAGCCTTGGAGACTTCTAAATTGAATCCAAGGAAGAAAGTATTTATAAATAGTAAGCATAAAAATGAGCACACTTGTACTGTCTTATCCCTTATATAGGCCTAATAGCCAAGGCTTCCTCTTGTTGCAGAGCACGGACTCTCCTGAAGCTTTCATAGTTTAGCTAATTAGGTTAAGTTGGTGGTTCCTAATTTGATTTAGCCCAACACCCCATCTGATAGCAACCATTTAAAAGATCTCTTGTACTGTTCATAAATAATAAAAGCTGTGCATACAAAATTCCACAAGTAAATAGAATGTGTTAGTGGTAATTAAGTGAGAAATAGCCAAGTAATTTGTAGTGGTATAATAACTGTTTGTAACATGTAAATATTGTATTGCAGCACCAAAAACAAGTGCCACTACAGATATTTGTACATAATACAATTTACATTGTATAAGGCATAATAGATCTGTGATGTATAATAAAAGCGATGGAGACTGATGAAGATATGCTGTATTGCATCTAGTATAATGGTACGCTACAGTAATTTTAACATTTCAGAGGCAGAGGCAGGAGGATCAAGATGTTGAAGTTACCTTCAGCTAGGAAGTGAGTTTAAGGCCAGCCTGGGCTACATTAGACCCTATCTCAAAAAAAATAACAAAACAAAATAAGCTCAAATCAATATCTGTTGTATTGATGAATCAATGCTTATACAATGTATAATTTCCCCTCGATCTTCATAATAGCTATGCACCTGAGATGGATCTTGTATTACAACTGTACAAGCTACCTTGTGTTTATATAAAAATGGGCTCAGATTTAGAAAGTTTTTAAACACTTGAACAAACGGCCATATGATATTCAAAATCTTGCAAGACACGGGGACATTTTGTGCTGTGCAAAACAATCCTGGGCACTGCAGTATTTCACTATTCTATCCCTACCATTTAAATGCTAGTGCTGTTCAGCTACCAATGTGTCACTCGAGAAGAATCCTTTACATGTCCCTCAATTCTGTCTCCTCAATGATAAGCCTTGCACTAGCAACCAGAGAGTTAATGACTGATACTAGATTTAGCCCCAAATAATAATTATAACATATTCTCTGATTTTTGTAGCCCTCGGGAAACAAGGAATGGCCAAAATAAAAGCTTAGTAATTGGATTAATTATGAGACTATTCCATAATTATGCCCCATAAGTGAAAGAATAAGTTCACCTAGTGTACACAACAGCTCAAGTTCTAGGCTTCACTCAGACTTGTTGGAATGAATAATTCATTTGGAGTTTCCATGGCTAAACTAGTGAAACGATACACATTGTTTAAAAGAGATCTTTTTCTACTTTCTAGAATGCTTGCCAATACCCAGATGTTTGCTAGCAAGGAGGAGTTGAGAGTTACTTGAAAAGAACTAATTGCTTCTGTTTGTATGAGCAGCGTCAAAATTGTTTGGATACATTTGGAATATCTCAAACACTAAGGATCCTTATATCATTTTGAATAGGAAGACTCTGACCTATGATCCTTGACTAAAATTTGCTAAATTTTCAAAAGGGTCTGTAAAGTTGTTGTTATTATCTGTCTATCTATCTTCTATCTGTCTATCTATCTATCTATCTATCTATCTATCTATCTATCTATCATCTATTTTGCAAATGAGGTGGTTGAGTCAACAAGGAAAACTATCTGCCTTACTCAAATGGTTGGCTCAGTAGCAGAGCAGGCTTTGAATACAGAAATGCCTAGTTTCAAAGAATTTGACTTTTTAAAGATATTATGTCTCCTATCTTTCTTCAGAAAGGCAAACATTGGTTTCTGTGAATGTACTACAGAAAGATTGTAAATTATGGCTGAGTCCCATCTTACTGTGTAAAGCAGAAATGTCACGTCTTTGTTGGTAATTCAGTTATTTTTTTAATACTAACTTTGTTCTTAGTCCCTTTCCTGGGTTTAAGGTTGTATATGCACTCACATGTATGAGCTTCTTGAGGGCAAGGACTATGTGCTCTTCATGTTTGGGTCTTTGGAACCTAGCAGAGTAGCTGACATGGAGAGAGTGTTTGTTGAATGGACTTTAACTGAATAATGTTTCTCCTTTTAGGCCTTGGCCTTACACAATATTTCAGCGAGGCTTTGACCTGGTTTTGGGAGAGCAGCCTTCTGATAAAATATTCAGGTAAGTTCACATCCAGGGATGTGCTTTTATATGTCTATAAGTCCCAGTGCTCCTCGGCCCACTGACCATTTCTAGGGTTAAACACAGGAAACACTTGGGTTTGTTCTGTCTACTTAGAAAAAAGTGTTTGACCCAAATCATACCCAGGGGCAACATGGAGGGCTGTAAAGTCAGACAGGTTCTGTTTGGGTCCAATTCCATTCCTTGCCAGCTCAGTGAGCTTCAGTAATGTGTTGAAACTCTCAGAGCCTCCTGTCTCCCCATTTGTTAAATGGGCTGTAATACATGCCTGGCTAGATTAGAGTGAGGGATACATGAGATAATACAGGGAAAGTCCCCAGTACAGAATCTGGCACAGAACAGGCCATTAATGTCAGGTTCTGCTTTTCCTCTTTACATCTAATTTGCACATTCCTTATAGAGTCTTGAGTTGTTCAAAATTAATCTCTCCCGCCCCTGCCTCCTTCTATTCTAAACCCTACCTTATTATTATTTTCTTTTATCTATTACTCTCCTGATCAAATTTGATGATTCTAATCCCTCCCAATTTCTACCTGCATATCTGGTAATAGCACACATTACAAAGGCTCACAAGCAAAGGGGAAATTTGGGTGCCAGCCATGAACTATTGAATTTTCATAAAATATAATTCACACCAGGCCCTTTCTGGAACATAAGCTTATTTCCAATCTAAGATTTTATTGTTCATTCCTGTAGTCAGTTTGTCCTTCCCTCAACATGCATTTCCATGTACCTACTTAGAGCCAGAGCCTGTGCTTGACCTGGTAGCATGGTCTTTGTCTTCTTCCAGGAGCAAGCCCACTTTTGGAGGATGTGGACAGACATTCACAGGTGGATGTTGTCATAGAATGAGCTCAGTTACTGAATACCTTTGCTGGAAAGAGGCTGAGCAATGGAGAACATATGGAGAGCTTGCTTTCTTTGTTCCTGTAGTCATGCGGTTGGCTGAAACTCACTTATTTTTAACTTCTTGAACCCGTTTCTCTATCAGTCACACCTTGCTTTGGTGCTGACTTTTGCCCCTGCACCACCCTCTTGAGCCCACTAGCACACACGTGTGCTATTCCTCCTCATGACTTAGGATGGACACAGCTGCAGTTCATATTTACATGATCACTTCCTCAAATGGCCTCTGCTTGCCCATCAGTCTCCTGAGTGTCTTTCTTAGGGCAGGTTGGGTCAAGTTAATGTTGCTGGCTGTAGGCTGCACTTGAAATACTTGTAGTCTACTAGAAATCAGCAATATTCCTTATACTTAAATTTTCTAACAATGATTTTTATTTGGATGACTTTTTCCCTATTTTCTCGATGTTCAACTGCCAGGATCATTAAAGGTTTCTCTTTCTTTCTTTCTTTCTTTCTTTTAAAAAAAAACCACAACAACAACAACAAAACCAAGGTGATAGGGAATCATGAGAAATTTTGTTGATAGAATATATAAGTTCTCTGTTTCCAACAAATTGTAACTTAATAGTAAAAAACCAAAGGTTCTGGTCAAATCTCTGTAAGAGTAGAACTTGCATATGAAGATATGTTCCATCTCCACAAGCATCATTTTTTTCAAGCCTGTTGGCTGACAGGCGAATGTCACAGCCATACACTATTACAGAGGGAGCAGGTGTGGTGTTTAATCCATGACTTCACCGCCTCAGGAGCCAGTGCGGTGATCAATATGTTATTAACAATTTTGGTACCTAATATGACAACAACTCTTTTCTCAAATGAATACCATGGGTTGTGCTTCATGTATTTGGGGCACTTTTAAATTAAAGTCACTCTGGCATCTAAGTCAACCATTTACCAATGGAAATTCTGAGAAAAGTTTGATCTGGCCAGTGATGAAAATTGGTTATTTATTTGCTGTTGTACTGACTCATGATTTTTATCATGATCAGTTCCAAGTCACTGCATATTTCTCTAGCATGTGGAATAGAGTTTAAATTCTGGCATTCAAATCTTTCTACCACTGAATGTTAACAGTCAGCTATGAAATAAGCTGCTCTTCTACTGTGGAATTTTCCATTCATGATCAAATATGGCTTCTACTCTCTCCAATTCACTGCATCCAGTATTTTCTCAAACTATCATTCAGCCAGATTGCATCTTTCCCTCCTAATATAAACATTGAACATTTCCATGGTCCACACCAGGTTTCCAGATCTGTCATCTCTTGAACATCCATTATTCCAAAGCACTATTTCAGATGTTGTGGGAATGACCTTGATGGGCTTGATGAAGGAAGTCCCTGTCCTTAAGTTTGCAGACTCGTCCAAGAGGTGGTCTTTTATCTGTGGCCCTATGTGATAATCCCTAGGCTTTGTAAAGACTAACGCACCCAGCACAAACCAACTCAAAAGTACTGGGACTTGTACCCAGGGAATGAATACTTTTTTCTAAAGATATTATGGAAAATTTTATCTACATACATGATTGATAAACACTGCTATAAAGCTTCTGTACTGTTTCACAATGAATGACTATGGTAGTTCATTGTCAATTAATTTATCTCAGATTTATTTTTAACTTGGCATTTTTCTTTTGAATGAGATGGTTACCTTCTTGAAGAAAGAAATGGTTCCATAGATCGGTTTATACATTTGATATAGTCTTGAACATTTGGCAGGTAAATATAGAGGGTCATTTTAGATATCTCCTGAGCCCTTGAAATTAGACAAGAAAAGGCTATGGATGGTGAACTCAACTTTGAAAAACAGCAATCCCAAGATAGATGCAAGAGGGCACTGGTTCACTCAGCTTGCTTTTATACCAAAGACAAAGACATTCTCATGATACCCCATTCTGAAGATCCAACCATTCCACTGGACTTTCTGGTGCCAACTATGAGTGCAGGATGTGTGTGTGTGTGTGTGTGTGTGTGTGTGTGTGTGTGTGTGTATGACCTCCTCTTCAAGTGTTTACCTTTATCCCTGGGAAAAATATTTTACCCTAGAAAACCCTGGCCTGGGAAGAGTGAAGACACCAGGTCAAGAGCTCTCATGTTTTCCCACATTCTATTTTGCACCAGGCTAGAGAGACCACAGAATTATTCTGTCTAGTACTGTCTAATGAATGTTTGCCTCTAGACAGAAATTTCTAGCTGGGCTTCAATGGGATTGTGCAGCATAGAGCTGAGTCCTCAACAGCAGTGGTCACCACCAGCTGTCTCTAAAGAAGGACTGACGTGGGAGAGCATTCCAGATGCTCGTTCAAGCTTCCCTTGGGTGATGTTTTTAAAGTCATCCCTGCCAAATTTACATGAATGAGGGACAGATGAGATTTCAGGACACAGCTTTTTTTTCTAACAGTTTAGACTATATTTGGTTTTTGGAGTTCTTCAGTAGATTTTGTGTATGAAAGAAAGTTTTAGAATTTCATAAGCACCAGCCAGCATGGGCTGTCAAGCCTCTGGGATCCATATTTGACCAACTCCATATTTCTTTTCTACAAAGGTTGACCTTTCAGAGGTCACTGATATCCTTATGGTATTAGACAGTGGATTTGTAAACCGGGGCCAAAGAAATCACTGGAGAAGGCCATCGTGAGGATAAATGAGTAGCTCTGCCAACTGCCTGTCCTTTTGAGTTCTCAATAAGTGTTAGATTCATACCACATCTAACTGGGCTTCTGTTATAGGGTTTCACCTTGACTCTACCAAGACTGAAGGAGACTACATTGCTTTACTTGCTAACTAATATAGTAAGTTTCTCATGAAAACTATATCATGGTTGTTAGATCCATCCATACTCAAAGTTTAGCTCACATTCTGTTTGCCATGAATAATTAGCTTCACCAATGTATTCATTAAATTTGTACCTCCTGGGTATGTCACCCAGATGCCATTGAAAATGAAGGAAACAAAATATTCTGTTGATTAGTTAGTAGCTATTTATTGGTGACATCTTTAGTCTAGGAATTGTGTTAAGTGCCCTCTGCTACCCAAGAATGCACATTCTCCTTAGAGACGATGAACCCAGAAAAAGGACAGGCACAATTCAGTACATGAATTGCAGAGATTATGTAATGTGGAAAGTAGAATGTCACTTGCTTGGCCTCAGTGTGGAAGACCAAGCTTCTGGAAGGACTTTCTGGAAGGGTTTGTGTCTGTAAATGGGTGTTTAAGTGAGTCAATTGAGGTGAAGAAAAGAGGACATAAAATCCAGAAATAAATAATAATAGAAGCAAGTATTGTGATTAAAAGTGTAGAAGGATGTTAAGAACCACAGTCATATGACATGGAGGGGGAAGAAGTATGAAACAGGGAAGATGGGATCAGAATGACAACTTCAGAACTTTGAACTTTGCATGCACGGGAATATGTCAAACAGTTCCAGTTGGCATAAGTTATAGATGGCTTTTTCTTAGGACCACTATGAGATGGTTGAACAGGAATTCTATAAAAATAATTAACCATCTTAAATGTACTAGAACTGACAACTATTTCCTAAAACCTGTTACATTACCCAAGTAAAAGTATAATTTTAACCAAAATAGAAGACAATGGTCAATGTCCAATGAACCACAGAATACTGATACCATTCCAACTTGTGGTAATTTTCTGAAACAGTACATGTTAATGTTGTCTTTGTTCAAACTGACTAGAATAAGTGAACACCTCAAGAATGTCCTTTATGAAATCATACAGATGTCTGAAGATTATTGTTGTGGGATATTGTTCACTATGTGAAGATATATTGCTATAATTTGTTTAATAAAGGGTTAAATGGTCAATAGCTAGGCAGGAAGAAGTTAGGTGAGATTCCCAGGAACAGAGAGGACTCTGGGAGAAGAGAGGTGGGGAGACACCAGGAGATGCAGAGCAGGCAGGATGTGCAGGAGGAAAGGTAACAGCCATGAGACATGTAGCAGAATGTAGATTAATATAAATGAGTTAACATAAATTATACGAGCCAGTTAGGAACAAACCTAAGCTAAGGCCAAGCTTTCATAATTAATAAAAGTTTCTGTGTAATTATTTGGAGCAGGTGGGACAGAGAAAGTCTCTTTACATACTTTCCTTGTACCAATGTCAGCTGCTCAAGTGCTTGGCTGTACAGCAGGACTTTAAAGGAGCCATGCCTATCTCAATATGCTGGCCTTACCTGAGACTACTTTCTCAGGCCCTATGTGGATACTGAGCCCTGGTGCAGGACAATTGTCTGTATTTCCTCAATCATGTTTTAAATAAATGCTGATAGGCCAGTTAAGCAGAGAGGAAGTAGAGGCAGGGTGATGAGAACAGGACAATTCTGGGAAGAAGGAAGCTCATTCTTTTCAGTCCTGCCCAGACCACCGAAGAAACAGGATGTGGCCTGCCCCACCCGCTGAAAAAGGTACTGAGCCATGTGGCTAACATAGATAAGAATAATGGGTTAATATAATCTACAAGAGTTAATAAGTAGCCTGAGCTAATGGGCCAATAAGTTTTATAACTAATGTAGACTCTCTGTGTGAATTTCTTTGGGGGCTTACCAATTGGGGGAACTGGGCAGGACAGAAACCCCAACAAGCAGCCCCTCATGTTACAGAGCCCTACATTGGGACTTTTTCTCTCCCACCAGCTCCCAAAAAATGACACAGAGACTTTTTATTAATTATGAAAGCTTGACCTATATCTTAGGCTTGTTCTTAGCTATTTCTTATAACTTAAGTTAACCCAGTTATATTAATCAATGTTCTGCCACATGGCTCATGGTTGTTCCCTCTCCTCCTGTACATCCTGTTTGCTCTGCATCTCCTGATGTCTCCACACTTCTCTTCTTCCAGAGTCTTCACTGTCCTCAGAAGTCCCACCTAACCTCTTACTGCCTGGCTATTGACCATTCAGTTCTTTATTAAATCAACCACAGAAATATATTTTCACACAGTGTAAACTATCCCACAACAGGTCATATATTAAAATCCACAATTAATTTTAAGTCCCAGATTCAGTGCACCTTGGGAAAAACATCATTCCTGGATCAATCTGCTATTACTATATTACCATATGTGCGTGTGTGTGTGTGTGTGTGTGTGTGTGTGTGAGAGAGAGAGAGAGAGAGAGAGAGAGAGAGAGAGAAAGAGAGAGAGAGAGATACTGCTATGCCTTCAATAAATTTCCTGATTGTTTTCTTAAATGAATACAGCAATAGCCTTTTGTAGTCTCCCAGCACCACCAAGTCATGGTCTTGCCTATGACCTCACATTCCTAGAAGCAAGAAGATCTAAGAGCATTCTACAGAGAGAGAGAGACATCTCAGAGCATGACCAGGAGTTCAGAGGATTCAGAGGAGTAGAGTACTAAGAAACAGAGAGCAGAAATGGGAGAAATATCTACCAAATCAGGCCACATCCGACTTCCACAGAGATGTACCCCTTTCCCAGAATCCCCTATAGAGATACTGGAACTTGCCTTCTTCTCTTTTAGCAATTCTGATGGCAAGGACTGTCATTCAGGTCATGGGAAGGAATGACATAGCTGAGCATCTCCAGTCTGTAGGGTTGTCTGTGGTTAACATTCTTGGGCTGATGACACACTTCATAAATATATACATATATACAGCATCAGTCTGATTTCCTGACATCTCTGGCATCCCAGAGATGGGAGAAGACTGTGTGGGCTAGAGGAGCGAGGAGCAAGGCTCTGAAATGTGGCTGTGACCAGCATGCTGATGGTGCTGGTGCAGCGTTCTGCTTAATTGCACTTATCCTTCCATTGTTCCTCCCTCCACATCAAGTTGGGAGGAGACACTAAGCTGCCACTGCCTTGTGATATTCCACCCACATTGGCTTTTATCCATCCGACTATTTTTTTTTTACTGTGAATACGGAACATTTTAATGTCTTTGAGATGAAATGAATGAATAAATAAACAAATAATCTCTCCTGGTTTCCTTAAGCTCTCCCTTGAAATGCTGATTGATTCTTTTATTCCTTTTAGCTCTTGTTATAAGAATAAATTAAAAAAAAAAAGAGTCTTCCCTGAATCCCATGGGTTATCATTGTTAGCTCAGGGTGTGGGTAGGAGTTCAGAAAATAAATCTGGGCCTGTTTTGTTCATTTGTTCTCATTTGTACATCTCTTTCTTTGCTCACCCCTGGAGATCCCTAACTTCAGTCACTTCTATTCCTGTTATACAGAAGCCAGAAAAGGAAACATGTTTCCTGTCTTTTCCTTTTTAGGGCTCCCCCCAAGTAGGGAGAAACCCTGGCTGCCACTTCAGGTTCACAGTCAAGGGATGAGGATGGGGGTGGCCAATATCCCTTCTCAATTAAACTGCTTCCAATTTCCATATGACTTAACACAAAGGAGGATCAGCTTTAAACCTAGAAAATCTGAAACCCACTTTTTATGACTTGATAAAAGCCACTTCTGATATCTGGTGAATGGGTACCATAGTCAGATCTTCTGTTCTTTGGCCCCATGAGTTTGATGAGGCCTGTCTTCCTCTGGCTCAGTCATGCTGTCTGAAGAGCACTGCAGGGATGGGGAAGATGAGAAAGGAGCAAGCAAGGACAGAATTCCAGATCCCCTGGTGAAATTCCTGTGCTGTATCAAGACTACTTTATGTGTAGGTCTCTGTAGTCACCTGGTTTGTGGGTATGTGCAGAGTCTTCAGGAAGGCTGAAGAGGAAGCAGCTAGCAACAGAATGCTGGTGGGCAGTTATGCTCAGGTATAACATCTGGTGTGTGTGTGTGTCCACCCAGATTTACCTACACCCTTGGGGAAGGCATGTGGCTGCCCCTCAGTAAAAGCTTCGTGATTCCACCAGCTGAACTGGCCATAAATCCATCAGCAAAGTGTAAGACCGACATGACTGTGATGGAAGATGCTGTGGAGGTCAGGTGAGTCTCACTTCAGGGTGGCTTAGGAGGTAGAGTGACAAGCTACCTGAAGCTACCGTAACTGGGGGAAGAGGACATAGAACAAGCTGAAGTTGGCAAACTGCCTTCAAGTTCCCCATATATACACAGCCAGGATCTGCTATTTATCTGGGTCAATATTGCATAACCCAAGGCTCATTCACTGGAAGAGGACATAAAATTAGAGTTTGTAAGCACTTCCCACAAGCCTCAAGGACTGACAGGCAGTAAAATGTTAATGTCCATGCCTACATTCATATCTCCTTCTTTGACCAGGCATTATAACATTGGCTTACTTCCCAGATATGGTGAATGCCCATGATTTGTTAACTCAAGGCTTTGAGCATGGCTAATCTTCAATTTTTATAAAAGAGTGAGACCAGAAAAAAGCAGACCAGATTGAAAGAAAAAAAGTAAGAACACTTGTTGCTTTTGGAATCCCTTGATTCCTCCATTGCTTCTTCATGCAGAGAGGAGCTGATGACATCATCATCCTTTGACAGCCTGGAAGTTCTCTTAGACTCCTTTGGGCCAGTGCGTGACTGCAGCAAAGATAATGGAGGCTGCAGTAAGAATTTCCGCTGCATTTCAGATCGCAAGCTGGACTCTACTGGTTGTGTGGTATGTCCATTCTTCTATCCTACAGGTTCCTCTATGGGGTGGGGATAACATATAATACAATTGTACAGAAGAAAAAATGTGTGGTAGCCATGTGTGAACACCATCTAGCCTAAATTAAGAATTTTTCTCTTGATAGGAACAAAGAGTTAATCAGTCCATCAAGAAATACCCAAAGAGCATTACTAGGTGTTCTAGATCTTTCTAGAGAGACTTCCAGACTTTCCAGTCTTACAAGATAGTTGGTAAAAGCTATTTGAAAACTAATCAATTGCTTCCACAATTGTTGTTGGCTCCAAGACTAATAGCAAGTTTTAGGAGAAACCCACCTACAGCTAGGGATATGAAAAGAGTAAGTTATGCTCGAAATGGTAGAGAAAAACATAAACAAACATGGCATCAGAAGTGAGAGAGATGGCTCAGCTGTTAAAGGTTAAGGCTGGCAACAATAACAACAAAAAGACCCAAGTTTAGCTCTTAGTGCTCATGCTCACCTCTCCAGCTTCCTCTCTAAAGGCAGGCATCTCTGCCTTTAGATTTGGGAGTAGACCTTGTCTCCAGAATGAGTTCTAGGCTAGCCAGGACTACATAAATCCTAATATTGTGATCAATTGGAACTTACATTAAGGAAATCCTGCTTCTCTAAAAAGTGGGTCTCTGTTTGGTTTTGCTTTTTGTTTTCATATCTATAAACTTAGATAGTTTAAAAACAGGTAATATTGTTAACCAGTAAGACTTTGGGGACTAGGATTCCTCTGCTATCTCCCAGGTTATAGATATGAAGACAGTTCAGGACCGGGAAGGTAAATGGAGGCAGGAGCTGATGGAACCAGCAGGCTGGTTCCTTTATGTTGGCCATTGCTGTTTCCACTGACAGTCATCTATCTGTTTTTAGTCCTACCTTCTTTAGAGATTTGGAGGGGAGAATCATGAACTATTCAGGAAGTTAGAGGGCCTTGGTCAGGGAAGGATGGCAGGGAAGATGTTCAAAGTGAGAACAGAGGAGGAAGGGAACATTCATTGAGACATGTAGTCTGCAATAATGGCCTGGGGGAAAGGACTGGGAACTTACAGCCCTGGGAGTGGCTATGGTGCCCCATTTAACTTCCCATTCTGACAGCTGTGATGTGGGAGGGGACCCAGAGCACGGGAAAACTGTGAAGATGCTGAGCCAACACCATCTTTCACCCTCCTTCTTACCCAGCTCTGAGCATCTGTTCCATTCAGGAATCTGTTAGGTCTCCATGATGAATGCCTATCTGGTGTCCAGGGTGTAGTCTCCAAACTGGTACCAACTAAGCTGCAGGCTGCTGGGGTCTGGCTTATATCAAAAAGAAGTGGACATGAAGAAAAACAAAGGAAAGATACATGGCAGACAGGAGGATCTGGCAGATACCCAAAGAGAACAAAGAACAGAGGGACTCTTGGGGAAATACAAAGGAAAGCACTTGTTAGTTCATGGCCTCCACAGGCAATGATGCCCATCATTGCTCTCCTTCTTTGGCCAGTTCCACATACCTGAGTTTCCCAGGTGACAATCTCACTGCTCAAATGAACTCCATGATGAGATACTTTTGTTTTTCTCTTTTACCATCCTGCATGCTTCTCTTTACCCCGATTTTAATCTTCCATTCCTTATTATTTTCTAAGGTCATTTTAAGTACTGAAACCTGTGAACATTAGTGCACCTATGGGATCCTTCCTTGCCTACCGTTATCCACCCACATGTGATTCGAACATTCATATGCAAGAATTAACTCTCCTTTTCTTGCTACTACTTCTTATCAGGACCCTTCCTCCAGGGTGGGAGTTGCCTGTCAGGTGCCTTCTGTTGGCCATGCTTGGCCTTTCACTTGGCGTGTAGCTGTGCTGATGGAGTCCTATAGTTTCCACATTGTGATCTGTGAGACGGAGCTAGCAGGAATAGTTCTGATGAATATGCATTTGCAGAATTGGAGCCACTGAAGAAAGTCACCCAATTATACCAGTACTATATTAGCATAATTCTTTGAAGTCACTATGCCACGTGGCTCCCAGAGGGAAAGGGGCCAAACTGATTGGCAGACACATCCCATTCACTGTTTCTCATTGGCTATGAAGCATATGATCACTAAAATGAAGGATAGAGTGTGTTAGAGCTCATTACTAGGTTTGTGACCCTACTGAAAAGACGACTAGGGATCTGACTTTGAACCTGACCCAACTCTACTGGGCAGGTTTATTGTCTCAAAGTCCTGGTGTGTTAGTAGAGTGGTCTTTCATCTGGAGGTGGGCTGGAGGCAAAGCTAATCAGTACCCTCTGCAATTTGGGAATTGACACGCCTCTGCATAAAGACCCTTATTTTCAGTCTTTTGTGTGTTGAATGGAAACACTTCCCAACAAATACATATTTTTATAAAAAGAGAAGAGCTTGAGAAACCAGAGCATGCTGGACCTTTAGGAACCTGGAAGGAGTCAGAGATAATGGATTTCAAAGAAGACACAGCTGTGTGTTTTCTAATTTAACCCAAACCAGACAGGTAGGATTCAAGTTATGTCCATGCCATCTGCTCAAAGAATTTTAGAATGAATTCTCTCTAGGAAGGCTCTTTCAGTTATGCATCAACTCCCAGGGGTTAATTGCCTCCAGTTAATTACCCTGTTGTTTATATAGTCTCCAAGAACAAGAATCCAATGCCTCTGAAAGGCAGAACCTTGTGCAAACCTTAGCATACCATTACAAAAATGCAACTTCTCTCCAATAACTGGGGACTGTGAAAGCTTCCAGGGGATTCCCAGAGCATAAGGCTGCCCCCCCCCCCCGATGACCAGGCTTTATTCATTGTGTTCAAAGTTTCCTCCACCAGACACCTTCGAATTGCTGCTGGAACAAATCACACTGACTTCAGTGACTTAGAGCTCTATGAGTGTATTATATTACAATTCTACTTGCAAATCCAGGGTGGGGTTATTACTGATCTAAAATTAAGGCATGGTCAGTGCTGTCTTCCTTTCTGGAAGTCCTAAACAGAACCAATTCCTCTACCTTTTTCAGTCTAGAGTCCATAAACTTTCCTCAGGTCAAGACTCTATAGCTTTACCTCTAACTAAAGTTAGAGAGACTGTATTTTTTTTTAGCCATCATGCTGCAGCATATCTCTTCCATTCTGTGTCCCTCTTTCACTTCTAACAACTCCCTGTGATTACATCAAGTCAATCTAAATAATCCAAGATAACCCTCTCATCTAAACATCCTTGATTTAATCCTATCTGTAAAGTCTTTTTCTCCATGTAAGGCTAGATATACTCTTACATTTATAAGAATGTATTACAAACAAATTTGGATGAACCATTCATGAGTAATGGCAGTGGAAATTGAGTAGACTTAGCAGACAGAACTCCAACCTGCCCCACCCCAGCCCCAGTTTTCCTGAGGGCTTCCATATCAACTATTATGGTGTGTGTGTGTGTGTGTGTGTGTGTGTGTGTGTGTGTGTGTGTGCATTCATGCCTTCATGTAGAGGCCAAAGAGAAACATCAATTGTCTTTCTTAATCACTTCCTACCTTATTCTTTAAGATGAGATCTCTCACTAAACCTAGATCTCAAGAATTCAGTGAGACCACCTTGATGAAAGCCACAAATCCCCAGAGATCCTTATGTGTGTATCTCCCTGGTGGTGAGATTACAGACATCCGTATAGACCAGGTCTGTATTTCTATGCGTGTTGAGAATGTAAACTCACATCCTCATGCTTGGGTAGCAATCACTTTACTGTTGGATCACTCCTGCTAACCCCCTTCATTCTCATGAAGCCTCCCTGCTGAGGTTCAACATAAAATGTGCCGTGAGAGTTAGACAATTACTACCACTGCTATACCAAAAGTAAAGGAAATGGGAAATTCTCATCTGCAGACTCACACCCATGCTGAAAATGCCCAACAAATGCTTTTGCTTTGTAAGACATTGAAATAGATGGGATAAGTAGAGTAAGTAGACCATGGCCATGAAAGGAGCAGGGTCAACAGCCCTTCATTCTTGTATGTGACCTTCCCTGCCAGACCATTATGGCGACTCCGATACCCTTCCTCCGTGTGCTGTCCATGATGGTTTTCCATAACATGTGTCATTTTACCATTTCTAGAAAATGAATGTGCAGGGACCTTACGGATGAGCATCTCTTCTTCTCTCTGTAGGACAATAAGTAAATGAATACACTTCAGAGATTTCTAGAGAAATTGGGGCAGGAAACCACAGCAGTCTGAAATATAAATTTAACTCCATCATACTTTTCCCCTTTGGAGAAGTCCTGCATGTCTTGGACCGGCATATGAAAGCCTATCAAGAAATTGTGGAAATCATCACTTGCAAAAGGAGTGAGATTGTCGCATAGTAAAAAAGAACCCATTTCCAGTATAAAATGTGGCCACATGCCTTATTAATCATTCAAGTTCAGTGAGGCAAGCTCAAGTGCTGATCTCTGTCCCTCTTCTCCCAGGGGACATGAATAAGTGCATGCGTCCATCACTCATAGCCATCTGCCAACAAAGTGTCTACTTTGTAATCTGGAACTGAGGTATCTGTGGCCTCCAATTTAGTCTCCTAAGTAATTAATCAACTAAAACTCATTGATAGAAAAAGAGGGGGAAATATGGCAAAGAAAAAGATTTGAATGGGGAAAATCATTTTAATCTCAATAGCAAATTATGCCTTGGACCAGTAATGAGTCAAGAAGTCATGAACACCTCATGGAAAGATGATTAACCTTGTGTATTTTAGGGGTCACTGAAGTATGAGCTCATTTATTAGACCTTCCTGGTGGGGGAGGGCTATGGCTGTAATAAATGGACTTTTTAAGTCTGTACTTCATAAAGTCCCTGGGACTACTACATATAACCTATGCAAAGTGGGGTTAATATAAGACCTTGGGCTCTCTCCTGTGCAAATGGTTCTCATTCAAGGACCAAATGGAAGGATTATCCACAGCCAGAAAAAGAGAATACCCAAGACTTGTCAACAGAAAATACAACTTCTATAAACAAAACTCCCCACACCCCGTGGCTGGAAATGCACCTACTTCCGGAAGCAGGACCACAGTTGGTTGCAGCCTCTTTATGTTCAGATCAAGATTTTGAGGAAACCTGAAATTTAAATGTATAACACAGGGAAGACACGTGAGAAACCAAATTTATTCCATAGATGCTTGAATGATTACCTCCCTAGGGAATGGGTGCTCTGGATAAGAGCTATGAAGAAATCTCAGTTTTTCATTTCAACATTGTTTTTTCCTGGAAATATTTCTAAAATGCTCTGAACTGCCGCCCCAGTTAGTTACAGTACAATAAAGATAATTGCATCCTTCTCAGTGACTGGGAATCTTGTTTTGCCTTCAAGGTCATCACTCTAGACAGCTTGCCGTGTTTTCTGCTAAAATAGTTCCACTAATAATATGGTGTGTGTGTGTGTGTGTGTGTGTGTGTGTGTGTGTGTGTGTAAAGAGGGACATAAGGAAAATATTAGGATAAATCTATAAGTCCATAATTCATCCAAGAATATGCATCAGAAATTACTTCACGTAGTCAAATAGCAGATCTACAGGATTGCTTTACATTGTTGACACATTACCTTTATTTCTTCCAAGGAATCCAGATTTTATCACAGGTGCACAGCAAAATGTCAGAAACACATACAAGCTTTGGAGTCAGACAGATCTAGGCCCAGAGTTTGTTTCTGCCATTTCCCACCATGGCAGCCTTAAACAAGGTTGTTTTTCTGAGCTACCCATAAAATGGAGACGATAAAGTGTACCTGTGTTGTTGAGACTACAGAAAATGCACACAGATAAAAATGGACCACAAAAAGAATTGCCTAATTCAGTACAGCTATGGCTAGAGATTTAGCTTTACTTAGAAAAACAAAACTCCAAAGTGGACAAAATAGCAGACACTGTCTTCTCTCCAAATCTTTGAAGAGAATCTGATATCAGGCGGTCAAGTATGGTCATCTTGGCATTAGGGACAGGCCAGATGTGACTATGCCAGGCCGAGGCATTCTGAAACAAAACTGGCTCCTGTTTCATTCAGTGAAGTCTTTGTCAAAATTTGTGCATGATGGAGCACTCTGAAAAACAGCACATGGCTGAGGAACTGGTGCGTCCTAGCTGGGGACTGATAGAGTTATCTGGTGTGAGGGTTGAAATTATGTCAAGTTGGATTGACAGGACACCTGGTTTTTTCTCTCTTGGTGGCTTTGTCAAAGGAAGGAGGGGAGAACAACTCCTGCCCACCAGTACAAGACATTTAATTCCAACAACACGGTGTGTTTTCATACCCAAACCATGCCTGGGCAGTCACATGGTGCCTAAGCCAGCCCCCTCTGGTGACACATCTGGCCTAACAGCTGGGTGGCCACGGAGTTTAATGGGGGGAGGAACTAACAGATCGTGGGGTGCAATCCTCAGCTTCTTCATTTGCTTGTTTGCCATCATAACCATTCTGGAGAACATCTGGGCATACACAGCAGGGGCTAGCCCTTGGAATTGCCTTTAAATGCTGCTACCTTCCAACTTTCCATCTGCCTTCTTGGGGAGAGGGGATGGACCAAGCTGGGGGCCTGGCAGGTTGGTGGGGGGCATTTGTTTGGGAAATTGCACAATTGGTGTCAGTAAACAGTGCATATCCTGCTGTGGTTGTTGACTAGAGAAAGAGTGGGGAGGAGCAGTGGCTTTTCAAAGACACATCTGCCTAAGCACTAAGCTCTGTGCTGAGCCAAGGTGTCTGGCGGAAGAGAAAGAGGACAAGCCAGGCAATAGGGAGTGAAGGGAGATGAGGTCACACTGCCAAGTTTCAGAAGTTTGGTTTGGGTTTTGAAGGAGTGTCCTGAAAGATATAGATAGGTAGATAGATAGATAGATAGATAGATAGATAGATAGATAGATAGACATATGATAGACTGGTGATAGATACATAGATAGATGATAGATACATAAATAGCTAGATAGATGATAGTTACCTAGAAAATAGATTGATAGATGAATTAATAGATGATTGATATAAATATTAGATATGATAGATAGATAGATAGATAGATAGATAGATAGATAGATAGGATAAAATATAGTCATTAAATTCCTGAATTTGGGAACCAAATCTGGACATACTCTCAGCTCTGCCCTGCTCTAGATGCGTGAGCCTGGCCTTCATGTACACATTCCTCCCAGCCTGTTAGAATCAGTGTTAGCATTAATGCATGACGTCTTCACATGAGCACAAGAATTCAGGTGACAAAAATTATAATATAATTTAAAAATTAAAAACAGGATTTTGGAGATTCTAGTGCACTATCAGTGGTTGCCTTCTCCTTGAATGAGGATAACACAGGAAGTTGTGAGAGAAGGGAGCAGAGACTCAGTTTCCAGTGACTAGGTCTGTCACTCGAAGTCCCAGTCTGACATAGAAGATGATAGAGCCACTGAATCAGGGCGCCACAGACAGCCCACCAGGGATTCAAGTGTGGACTTGCTTGAAACAGCTGTGATTCTAGGAGTTCAACACTCCGTGCCTCAGTTTCTTCATATGGGTTACACGTCTCACCTCACAAACTGTTCTGGAGGTTGGTGTCTGAGGGTTTTTTATTGCTGTGAAGAGACACCATGACGACGGCAATGCTTATAAAGAAACATTTAATTGGAGCAGTTGGGGGCTTACTAACAGCATATCATCATGGGAGCACAGTGGTATGCAGGCAGATGTGGTGCTGGAGCTGAGAGCCCTACATCTTGACTGAGAGGCAACAGGAAGTTGTTTGGCTGTCACACTGAAGCTTGAGAAAAGAGACCTCAAAGCCTACCTCCACTGTGACATACTTCCTTCAATAAGGCCAGACCTCCTAATAGTGCCACTCCCTTTGGGGGCCATTTTCTTTCAAACCACCATAGTTGGACTAGACAACGAGGTAGGCTACTTGCTGGGGTCTGTGAAGGTGTTGCTGGGGCTGACCTTGCTCCATGAGCTTTACCAGGATCTGAGGTTTCTATGATTTCCTCCTTTGCTATCCTCCTTAGGAAGTTGACCTAGGACAATTAGGACAGAAGAGCAAATGTTCCCATTAAGACCTGCTAGCCAAATTCACCGTGTTACAGGTGTTGTGGGCTAGGAGGCTTCCAAGGGGAATCTTTGAGACAGCAAGGTGATGAGCCCAGGACTCACACTCCTCTCCAAGGCTGTAGGAAAGTCTCCTTCCGGCCTCAGACTGGAAGCCCTGGCTCACTCCATTTCCCCAGTGTCGCCAGCTGGTACCAACATTGATAAAGTGCCCTTTTAATGTGAGTTCAAACAGCACCGCCGCTCTCCCTAGTCCCCAGGAATCCCTGCTTAATGCATTTTAAATCCTGGCCCATCACTTCCGCTCTTCTGCCAGCCTGAGGTCCAATAGGGAAGCAGCACTCTTCCCTGTCTTGCCACATAGCTCCATGCCAGCCTGCTCAGAGCCAGAGGCTTAATGCAAATGTGTGTGAGTTGTGCCCAGACAGAAACAGAAAGATGTCAAAAAAATAAAAGGCCTTTTGCTTTTAAAAGGAGACAAAAAGGCAAAAGGAAATCCATAGATTATTTTCCAGGGGTAATAGTTCCACATGGAGTGTGTCAGTGACTGTGCTTAGGTCTTCTGTTTTACCCACTTGTACGGATGCTTTCTGGTTGTGCCAGTGCCCGTCAGGACTCAGCCCTATGAAGGACAGCTCAGGCTGCTATGACCGCCACATCGGTGTGGACTGCTCTGATGGTTTCAACGGAGGCTGCGAACAGCTGTGTCTCCAGCAGATGGCGCCTTTTCCAGACGACCCCACCTTGTACAACATCCTCATGTTCTGCGGGTGAGTGAGCATCAAGGGACATTTGGTGCTGCAATCCCAGTAGGTCCTTGTGAATGGACTGGTCACTCCTAGACCCTAAGGAGAGAGCCGGTAGCACTTCGATAGTCTAATTTAGAGGAACCTTACGGCAAGATAGTCCGGTGGCTACAGAAAAGCAGCCTCTGGCTTACCCGAAAGGAACAATTAACTGCATGGTTTACTTATATCGTTGCCCAATTAAGCAAGAACGTTCCAAGCTTTGCCTTCGAGGAACTGTGTTAATGATGTGTTTTGTGAAGGAAACTGTTCCCGCGGTCCAAAACTTGAGAAACTACCAGGCAGGGAAGGAGTGTTTTGTTTTTTTTTTTTTTTTTTTTTTGGAAGCTTCAGATTCTGCTTCCAAAGTCCCCATATTTTGCAAAGCCCTCCCTCCTTCCACTAAGTCATTAATTAGTTACTCTCAGTTTAACGCTTTTCCTGGGATCAGATCTCCCCCACCCATGTGAGAGAACAGGTTGGGCAACGCCACCCGCCACCCCATTTCACAGGTGAGAAAAGGAATGGTTAGTGAGGTGATCCATCTCCCTTGAGACTGGAAAGTTAGTGAATGAGAAGATTAGGAACAGAATCCAAGCCCTTTCTGACTTTTTAAAAACTCTGCAGTTTTCTCAAAATTTAAATTTGTATCGCTGATTGAAATTATATTTAAAGCCATTTTCATGCTATATTTATCAAGTAAATATTTAGCCAATTTTGTTATGCCCATAGATTGCTTATCTATCTTTTGCTCCCTTCCCACCCTCCCTGCCTTTGCCCCCCACTCTCCCACCCAACCCTGTTGCTGCAAGTCAGTTGGGGTGCTCACACATGACCCTGGACACTAGGCTGCCTAAGAAAGTAGCATCTAAGTGCATGTCTTCCAGGCTCTCAGCAGCTAATAAGCTTGCATGAAAATCAATGTTTATAGTCATAAAACTATGTTAGGGGCTTACTAAAAGCCAGTGCCTGCTGAGTAACCATGAAAAGATTTCTAGTGCACTTGTAATGTTATTTTATTGTATTTTATCTCATTTCTTTGCAATTGAGCAATTTTCGTATTTAGTTTCTTGTAAAATCCCATTCCATAAATAGAAGCTTGCTCTAAATTTTAATGTTCTCTATAATGTGGCTATTAAGGGTGACCCACTTCAATTAATGGGAGCGCAGACTCAGTGAAAGTTACATCCTTTTTTCTTAACTGTATATACATTTCATCACCCGCTTGTGCAGAGAACCTAGTTAGGTGTTAGATACAAGGGGAACAACAGGATGTCCAGCCTGGTCTCCCCTCTCAAAAAAAAAAAAGGTTTGCTGTGCAATATTTTGACAGAAGAATGAGAAATGGAGACAGACAGACAGATAGACAGAGGAGACAGACAGACAGATAGTTGTCAAAATGTTCAAGATGGACTGACACAAAATCAGTTTTAGCTTCCACCGCCCAGACTCTGGTTTATGTGACTAAAGGAAGGAGTCATTCAAGGTCTTGTCCCAGACCTCTTCTGAGTTATGGAGGCAGTCCTCTATGGGTCTTGAATCAAACCCATTCCCTGGACAAAAGCCATGACCTCTCGCTGGACTTTCTTTCTGGTTTTGGTTGGGAATAGGTACATGTTGATTAGTGTTACCCAAGGCACTATCTGTAAGTCGTCCAGGTCCATTCTGATTTGAGGTTCTTGCACAGAGAGCAATCACATGTAGTTAAAATGCTCCATTCACACCTGTTCACACCCCTGTATAAATGGGAAATGGAAATGGGGAGGATCAGCAGTTAAGGTCCTTTGCCCATGGTCCTCATTTGCACCTCTGCTAATAATAATAGCAGCATTCAGCCAGCAGTAGCTCTACATTCGGCATGATGTAAGTTCTATAGATTCAATATACGAATTAATTTCCTCAACACTCTAGTAGAACAGCTACTTCTCACACCCTTCCTGCAGTTTTGGAAACAAAATCTCACCAGAGTTTCGTTAGCAGTTCCAGAGTTACGCAGGTAAGGACAGCATTCAAGTTGCTATAGCATTAGGTCTCACTTTTTAAAACTATGATCCTTTGTTCCTCTATAAAGGACTGAAGCTTTTAACTTATCACAGTTACTACAGATAGTGATAATTGATGTGTTCAGTATCATAATCATCTTACAATTTTAAATTTGTTCTATTTTTAAGCAGGGAAAGAAATCTTTTTTTAAAAAACAATGACAACCTTATTAAAGAATTAAGTCTTACTTGAGTTAGCAAAAGTATCTTACTCATAAAATAACTACAAACAAAGTCCAATTAATGACTTATGAGTCACTGACCCATGATTACCAAATTAGTATTACTTTCCCATTAGAGCAGCACAATGAGGAAAGAGCCCAGGAGGCGATTGCTGGTTTATAGAGCACACAGTATTCACACTGTGCCCTGTCAACGCTGCGTGGAGGGGCGTTTGGATGAGTGGCTAGTTTGTTTGTATGTACTCAAACAGAACACAGCTAGACGATCATCAATCTCCCTCATTTCTTAGTCCACTTGCCACAGGACCAGATTAGAGAGTTATTAATTTTTTAAGCACACTGTCACTCTTCTGCTGCCTAATTACTCTACAAATGCGGACGCTCACAGAATATTCTTAAGAAAAATGCTGGCATACCTTCTACTTCCGTCTGTTAACTCACTTATACGCTGATCTCTAATTCCTACATTTAGAAATCAGAGGGCTAGGAAAGGTGGGTAGACTGAGTTCAAATTATCATCTAAGGGAAAGTAAATCAAGCGATGTGGTCATGATGGAAAGTGACTCCATCTATAGATGGAAAAATCCTGGTTTTTAAGAAACCCACATGGAATTGGATTATTCCTAGTTCGGGTCATCTAACATTTCTCCAGCAACATTGCTCCCACATTTGATGCACTAATTAGCCCGGATGACTCACCGACAAACAACTTAACTTGAGTTCTCTCCTCCATTAGGTGTATCGAAGACTACAAGCTTGGGGTGGATGGACGGTCTTGCCAACTTGTCACGGAGACCTGCCCAGAGGGCGGTGACTGTGCGGAAAGCAGAGAGGTCTCCATGAACCAGACTCTCTTTGGGGAAATGTTCTTTGGTTACAACAACCAGTCCAAGGAAGTAGCTGCTGGACAGGTGCTAAAAGGAACATTCAGGTGAACTTCATATGCATAGAACTGACTTTTCAGGAGTCTTAGTAGCTTCCTCTCTGAAGAGCCTTATTCTCAGCATTTCACCCATCTTGGATCAGGGTGAAAGTGATATACCTAAAAAGGCAGATTGTGTTCTTGCTCATAATCCTGTTCAAGTCTACACTCTGCCTTTAAGAATCCAAGAAGCATGCTGGGTGTATGGTAAAACCTTAAGCAAAATCTTACCTTCAGGATTTCACATTGAAACCAACCCAAAATGTGCAAAGTTCCCTTTGACTTCCAAATCTTAAGACCTGGCTCATGCGTGGATCTAGAACAGCTGTCCTCAGAGCCTGCTCAAGAGTCTTGGATTTTGCTGGACCTTCAGGGAGTACTGAGGTTTTACCTATTAGAAAGCTAACTTTCTTTCTTATATTTCAGGTAAAGCAACATGTTGTAATAAGTTGGATCCAGTTGTGAGAATCCAGTTGTCTTCTCTTAAGTCAGACATTTAAAAATAGAAAACAATGTCATTGCCCTTTTCCCATAAGACAGATTGATACTTAATGTGTTTATTGGTACTTTAATAGGAATTGTTAAATTTTCTCTTTGAATTTCTAACATGGTAAATATTGACGTTTATGATCATGGCCAAGTATTTGGGACATTTAATTATTTTGATGATTATAAAACACCCCTGAGGATAAAACCTTTTGAACCATTTATTTAGAAAAATCTGTGAGAGATTCTCCATTTGACCCTCGTACGTTTTCTTCATTGCGCTATTTGAAATTTCTTAGAAGCCATCAAAATTTGCTTTCCACGAGATGATGATGATTATGACAATGGTGATGTCAGTATTCTAACATAAAACACAGCCTGGTAGCCATCTAAGCCTATGCTCTTAGGAACAAATTGGAGGCAAATTTTCAAGGTAGTTCTTATACTGAGCTCCTGTTTCTGTCATGGACAAGAGACTTTGCAAGTATTTTCCATTTTCATCAACGGAATTGGGTTTCCAGGGCAATAAATGTGATATCAGAATTGATTTTGTGATAACCAGAGCCTTCTCTGTGTTCTACGCATGCAACTCAGAGTGTTGTTATCTTTAGAGAGGAAGTCAGAATGGAAACCTGGTGTGGGGGGAAACGTTCTCTACCCTGACTACAGACTTTTCCAGTTCATTAGCATCTCTATGTCATGTCATATGTACCTAACTCATGTCATATGTACCAAATGAGTCTCAAGGTGAGGCATGACTTTTGGACCAGAAAGACCTTTGGCACTGTGTTGAAATATGGACTGCATGCCAAGGAGTTCCATGGACACTCGGAAAGCGATGGTCTGTTCTGTTTCTAGACAAAAAAACTTTGCTCGTGGTTTAGACCAGCAACTGCCAGATGGTCTTGTGGTTGCCACTGTCCCACTGGAGAACCAGTGTCTAGAGGAAATCTCGGAGCCCACCCCTGACCCTGACTTCCTGACTGGTAAGTGTGCCTTTCTTTATGCAGCCAAACCATAGTTTCCTAAAATCATGGCATGCGTTTTACTATGCTCATTTTTATTTCTAAGTGAGTTGTTTCACTCAAGCATGAACAATTGATTATAAAATCAAACTTTATTAGGATTAATTATTAGTAAAATTGTCAATATTCTCATATGATTACTACACAATGGCTGTGATTATTTCTCTTGCTAAATTTTATAGAAATTCTTCGGGGGTGGGGGAAATGCCATAATGAATGCATATGCATCCAGGCAGAGAGAAGATGGAGCACACCTATCCCCTAAATATGCATTAATAGTGTAGTTGAGTTCCCTGCAAAGAACTTCTGGAGCAGTGATATAAGACAGAGGCTTATGCAGTTTTGTTGTCCAGTGACCCTGTGTTTGAATCTAGCTCTGTTGCGTGAGATCCTCTTGATCCCTCCTCGTGCGAGGACAATAAACCCTGCCTCTCTGTTCTTCATTCCATGGTTCCTTCTCTTGACCTATACAGGACAGAGATGTAGTTTCACTAGCAGAGGCGGGGCCCAGAGGGTAGGCTGTTTCTTTCTGGGCCTTGGCTTCTGGACAGATCCTCTATGAGCTAAGAAGGGGCTTCAGGAACCCCGTAAACCCTAGATATCAGTAACCTGGGATTTGGCATCACTTACTATAGCAATATGCACAAGCTCAATTTCATGGATTATGCTTGTTTCTTCATTATCCCTCTACTTAATCATTCTGTCTTTCTTATTCTATACCTTCTGCTTCTTTTCCTCCATTTTTAAATGAATTACTGAACAAAAGCCTTCAACAGACACCAGGAGTTAAAGAAGCATGGTAATTATTAGCGTGGGCCCAGTGCCTGGCAGCTGGGATCTGCTCCTCACTGGTCTAAGTTCCAAACAAGCTACTTAACTTCTCTGTGCTTTGGTTTCTTTTACCTTAAAAAAAAAAAAAAAGTATGTTATAACATTGTCTTCCTCATAGAATTTATATGAGAGACAACACTAATGAATGGAACTCCTAACACATTGTGGCATTTGTGTTTGTTAACTAAATAAACTCACCAATGTAAAGTACTGTTCAGCATGTGCAACCTGTGGCTGCTTGCGGAGGTAAGTGAGACCTAGCACAAACCAATAAGCATGCTTAAAACACTATGCAATATTTTGGTGGTTTTGTTTCCTTCCTCTCTCCCTCCTCTCTCTCTCTCTCTCTCTCTCTCTCTCTCTCTCTCTCTCTCTCGTATCCTATTTCTTGAGCATGAGCTTTGTAGATGATGACGTTGTTTCTCAACAATGTCATGTCTCAATATCAAAAGTTTGGCCACATCTTCTATGTGTCTTCTCTATAGCAGAAAAGGAAGCAGTGTAAAATAATAATGAAAAATATATACATTGTGGGCCTTCAAGGAATCTTTTCAAATCAAAAATCAGTTGTCTGTGGAAAGCTCTGACGACACACACACACACACACACACACGATTAACACGTAGACTCAGGAGTGCTTCCTAAAAAAGCATAGGTCTCCGACAGCGCTTCCATTTTGTTTACTAAGAAGCACCCCCTCCCTCTCCCTTCCCCCCCGAGGCTTGGGTGCTGGCACCTACAAACAAGGAAAGCTCCATGTTTCTAGTGAGCTGCTTGTTTAGAGACCCACCAGCCGCACCCCACATCTGTGCTTCAGTTTGGAAGGGAAGATTGTCCTGCACTGACCAGGCTAGGAGGCTGCCTAGAGCAGCCTAGGATGATGCATCTGTGCTTCAGTTTGGAAGGGAAGATTGTCCTGCACTGACCAGGCTAGGAGGATGCCTAGAGCAGCCTAGGATGATGCTAGCAGCATTTCGGGAGTAAGGGAGATGGAGCTGAGACATCAGAAGCACCTGTACTTGAATCCACATCTTTGAGATAAGGAAAATCTTCAATTACGTTTTTTGCCGCAACAGAATTAAATTTACCCACTATGTTCCTGGTGCCCTCTTCATGTGCCTTAAAGTTTAAAATGACAAGTTGAGGTCCTTCTAATCTGCCTGATTTCCAGATAGAGTGAAAGTTTCCTGACCTGGTGGCTTTTTTATCCAGTTTTTAACCTGTTTGGGGTAAGCAGAGCTAGTTAGTCCCAGTTAGTGTCCTTTTGTGATAAAGCAAAAAGGACTCTCTCTTCCCTGTGTCTTTAACTCAGAATCACTAGAAGGACTGAGAAAGAAGTGACTGACCAAATGCCTTCCATCTTCTCTGGCCAGTCCTAGTAACACTTTAGTGATAACTTTCCATGCAGTGGCACAGTGAATCACGCGTCCTGTCACACTCTGTGTTGTTATGGGCCATAATCCTCACGAGCCTACAAGCTTGAAGGGTTTTAGAGCTAAAGTGATCTTCGGAATTTTCTGTCTCAGCATTTCTAAGCATTTTTTTGCTCTGTTATCTTTTTTTTCATAAAAAAAATCCAAGTTCTCTTCATAAAGCAGTTCTGACTTCAGATATGTTCGGGCAAACTGCATGTGGCATCTTCCTCTCAGTAATTCCCACCACCTTAATATGAAAAAGCCTGCAGGCGAGAAATCCCTTCCACTTTATTTAACCCAGCAATTCCCAATCCTATTTAACTAGAGAATCCTTTGCACGCAGACCATCTGGCAGAATTATTAAATACCACACTGGAAATGCTGATTTATAAATCCTCCTCGGCAGCTTCAGAATAACAGTTAAGCTTCCCAGGTCACTCCGTTGTCACAGGTTGCGTGGAAGTGAAGAAAGGCCAGCCAATGAAAACAGCTAACAGCTATCTATTCCAGGCTGGTGACAGCAAGAACAGAGCAGCTATCATGTGCATTTTGGCACCGTCTCAAAGGTAGAACGGAAAGTAGGAAATCTTCATGATGAGAAAAGGGCAAGGTCACAGGTGGGGTTGCCAGCTCTTGACTTGGGAATCCTGTAGGAAAGCTAACTGGAACCTTTGTCACTGGCTATGGGGATGTATTAGATACTCAATCTTTAATAAGAGCCCTGGTGTTTGGATGACATTGTTATGGGGACAACCATTAGGCTTTGGGGGCAGTGTGCTAGGGAGGGTCTGGCTTTCCACACCCTGACTTGTGGGTTTTAGGTTGGCTTCCTGGATGGGTCAATAGAGATAGTGGGCTGATGGGATAGTTTTCTAAGCAGCTGCTGTAGATTTTGGGTAGAGTTCTGCTTTCGTATTGTTCTGTCTTCTGTCCATTTGTACACTCTTTCAATTTCCCTCCCCTCCCTTCCTTTGTCTTTCTCTTCTAGTCCCTTCTCTCTCCTCCCCTTCTCTTTTCAGATTATACACAGGTATGTTTGGCAACTCTGTCCTCAAGCATAGGTTAAAAATATAAAATAAAAAACAACATCCATTCTCAAGAAAACACAGCCAGAGACATTTTGTTTGGGAAAAGAATCCATTTGGTATAAATGTGTTCGAAGATGATAATATAATAAACCTGACTGCATGTCAAGGACACACTGAGAAGGAAACATGACTTGGCTAGAATTATGTACTTTATCCTTCCTTTGTAACTAAGGGAAGAATTACCTGTAAGTAGGTAGAAGCAGACACTTTCCACGCATTAACCATTATGTAACCACTGTTCTGATTGCAATGAAGCCTAAGAATAGTCACTGGAATTGTATTTGGCTGTTAAATACCCAGATTTAGGTAACTCATCCTGGGTAAAGGTGAGACACCAATATGCCTCCTGTCTCCAAACATCCATGCCTCTTACTTAGTCTTAGATTCTCCATGTTGTTCTGAAATAAAGTCTATAAAGTCACAGCAATATATCAGTTAAGAAATGTCAAGTTTACATATGTATGGGTGATGAGAGAGAGAGAGAGAAGGGTGGGGAGGGAAGGAGGGAGGGAAAAAGGGAGGGAGAAGAGAAAGATGATAATGTCACAGGGACATGCACGCACGTGCTTCTCTATTTTCCCCAAAAAGGGATTTATATTCATGATTTTATTCTACTCTCACCACCTACCTGTGTAGTAATCGGGATAAATGCACTCAGCTCCACTTTTCAGATCTGAAAACAGAAATGCTTGCATTGCTTGCCTAAAGTCATTTGTACAGCTACTTGAAATCACAGAATTGAAAAGATATTTCAGCCAGGCCTCTGATTTTGCAGATTAAACACCCAGGAACTAAATTATCCCATAGCCAGGTAGCCAGACAGAGGCTACTTGGGTTGTGTGAAGAAAAGTGACAGGCATTTAAAATACTTTTCTTTCTGAAACGTCCAGCTGGAGAAACACCGTGGAACCCGGGTCTCCTGGCTTCTTGTCTACTTTTTTCCGACTAGGACCCAGTTCAGTTAAAGGGATCCAACAGTACCCCATCCCCTGCCCCTGCCCCGTTATGCATTGAAGATCTTTACTTGTTTTATAAATAGGCATTTTCAGATAGCACCAGAATGGATGTGCGGATGTGGACACTGTATTCGGATGGCTTTCCATTGCCATACGTTTTCTGTGCTGATGAGCTGTGCCTTTAAGATAGTGAAGTCTTCCATTTGTTAAGTCTGAGTTTCATTTGTGTGCCTTTGAAGCCAACACAAAGGTCAAAAGCCAAGTGTGCAGTCATATGGCTGTCATCACAGAGCTCATACCTTGAAAGATGAACACTTAAAGGGAACCAGTGAAAAATCTCTTTATCACATGAAGCTTCTCTTGATTACCTGAGCTAAAATTTAAGCAATTGCTTCACCAAGCAACTTTGCTTGACCTTTCTTCTTTTTACCTTACCAATAATTATTCCCATATGATTCACACAGAAATGGAAATTTGGTAATTACTCGCCTAATTTGATCAGAGTTGACAAGCAGCTAATTAATCCTGCCCACATTTCATTCAGTTTTGGTATTAAGTTCGTTGATTTAGTTTCAAAAAGCAAAGCCAAAAGGGTGGAAGAATTGACTGTGTTTGTCTGTTCCATTGCCCTATTTGTGCACCCACAGTCTATACATCCTGTATTATATATATATATATATATATACACTTCCTTTATGTACTGTGTGTGCACATATATGCACATGTATAAGTGCACATAAACATTTCTGTAGTGTATATGCATATATGATGTGTGTATATATAAAATGTTAGACACAGAAATGAAGCTAAAATTGTTCTTTTACAAACTTGGGAAGTCTTTATTTTATTTCCCGTGGCTTATTTATTTTGTTTCTGTAGAGTTATATATTTATAGAATTGACTGGAATTCAAACAGGGGAACTCTTTCAGCTCTTAAGGAAGAGCAGGCCATTGAGAATGTGCAAAGGCCCTAAGGAGGCATGTGCTGAGAAGACCTTGGGCAACAGACTCAGCTTCTCAGAACCTGGATTTTCTCATAGGCAAAGGTGAACCTTAAATGTGTATCCTATTGCCTGACATAGAGGTGGCACTCGCTGTTTGGCTGTCACTACCCTTTAATGACTTTGCTACCCTAGCAGTGTCCCTTCTGGTAAAGGAGAAATAAGCATTATCAGCCTCAGAATAATTAAAGTGTAAATACCAAATATAAATCAGTTAACTGAGACAGAAAAATCAATGTTGTAGAATGTGTTGGCTGAGTCAATTGCTGCAATTACTAAAGAGACTAAAAATCAGGCCTTACAGTAAGTCTAGAGTTGACTATAAATGTATTGTTTGGATAGTACAACAGAATGAGTAAGGAGCCTGGTTCTGGGTTCAGGCACATTTGGGACCCCACCTTGTCTTACCTAGTCTCTTGGGGACTTTGCATATAAGCACTTAGGGTCTCAGTGTCTTCACTTGGCAGATGCAGATGTTAACACCTATAGCACAAGGATCAAATGGCTTAACATATGCAAAGTGCTTAGCAAAATGCCTGACAGAAAGCAAGAATTCAATAGGCGATGGTTGTTACAGCTCGGCTTCTAGAGTCTTTTCATCAAAGAGCACTTCCTAATTTCCTCACCACTACATCCTTAGCTTAATTGAACTGGGTCATGCTTTTCAACCTGGGACCTGCGAGTCAGCCTCACACGCTGACCTTTTGTCTCCTCTGTCCCCAGGGATGGTGAACTTCAGTGAAGTGTCTGGATACCCTGTACTACAGCACTGGAAAGTTCGGTCTGTGATGTACCACATCAAACTCAATCAAGCAGCTGTCTCTCAGGGTAAGCAAACACTACAGCAAGCCCCCGCCTCCGCCCTCCCCCAGGCCTGGGGATCTAGAACATTCTTATTGGATATAACATTACTGCAACCTTTTTTTTTATTATTATACATACAGTGTTCTGGCTTGGAGGGCACCAGGTCTCATTACAGATGGTAGTGAGCCATCATGTAGTTACTGGGAATTGAACTCAGGTCCTCTGGAAGAGCAGCCTATGCTCTTAACCTCTGAGCCATCTCTCCAGCCCATACTGTAAACTTTTTAGAACATTTCTGCGGGGTTCAAAAGATCTAAAAATTTGACTTTTTTATTTGACAGATTTCTTAGTGAGAAGGGATTGAAATGAGGACTGTGCTGAAGGAAACCTCAAAAACAGATTATGTAGAAAATGAAGCCACTCTTCACTCTCAAAACCATGGGTGGGATTACTCCACCCAAATACTCAGTTTGCACCTAGCACAGATGTTGGGCATTGTAGGGGTCAATCACTCAGATCTTTCTATTACCATGGGCCTATCAAAGTCACAAAATGTTATCACAAGTGATGTGGCCCTTGGTACTTAACATCTCATGTTTGGGTTAGACTACACGTTGCCCTGAGAAAACACAGTTGTTTAGAAAGGAGGGCTGAATAGAGCTGGCCAGATAAAGTATTAGATTCAGAAAAGTTTACTATAGACCATTTTCTCCCATGAGTCTTAAAGAATGACAGAAGCCATAAAGACATTTGGCTTGAATGAAGAATGAGGTGGCTTATGGAGTCCTTCTTCCGCTCATCATTTCCCTGTTCCTTTACCATTGGTTTTTCTCAAATAAAATATAAGCATTGTTTCCGTGACCTTTCTAACCTCTTTCCTTCCATTATTTTTCATTACCCAGTTCTTAGTCAACATGTTTTGCAAACAGTTTTGTTTCCTGTATTCCTTAGTTTCCTCGTTGTTCTGACAGAATACCTGACCTGGATAACTTAAGGAGGGAAGCATTTATTTTGGCTCACACCGTGGTAGAGAAAGCATGGTGGTAGGATTAGGAAGAAGAGAGAGGTGAATGCTGATGTTCAACTGGTGTTTCTTTTATACTCTGTCCAGTATCCTCGCCCAAAATTAGGAGGTGTCTTCCTACCATGTCTTAGTTAATTATTCTATTGCTGTAATAAAACACCATTACCAAAAGCAACTCTAGGAGGAAAGAGGGTTTTTTTTTTCTTACACTTTCCCAATAACAGTCTGTCACTGAAGGAAGTTGAAACAGGAACTCCAGGGAGCAACTGAAGCAGAAGTCATGAAGGAATGCCACGTATTAATTTGCTCCTTGATGGCTTTCTCATACCATTTTCTTATACAACTCAAACCCTCCTGCGTAGACTTGACACCACCCACAGTGGGCTAGGTCATCCCCAAATCAACCATTATTGAAGAAAATGCCCAACAGACTTGCCTATAGGCAAATCTTATGAAGACATTCACTCAATTAGTATTTTTTTCTTCTTCAGTATATCTAGGTTTGTGTCAAGTTGACGAAAACCAACCAGGACACACCTCAACTAGCCTAATCTAGAAACTTCTTCACAGGCATGCTCATCAGTTCATTACCTAGATGACTCCAGATGCTGTCGAGCTGACAGGATTAGCCATCACAGTCTCTACCCATGGGATATATTTTATTTTATGACCCCCGTGCTTCATACACCCACATTCACACAATGCATACACCATAAAACAATACTTCATCTTATGATGTAGAATGTTCCTTGCTAGTATTTATGTTTCTATTTTAGACTATGCTATTCTCTTTCTATTTTTAAAATGCTATTAATTAAACTGACTAAATTGATTTAATGTCATGCACTGTAGTTTTAGGGGACACAAAGTAATTTACTTAATGATGACAGGAGTCAGGATTTGCACTCCTCTGCTTAACTTGCCTAAAATTAACAACACAATCAACATCCTTGAAAAGATACCTACTTAGGAACAGAAACTTGTATTTCAGTTAAATAGAAACACATCATATTATTCCTAGCTAGCTCTCAAACATCGCTTGAGGTTACATGGTCACAATTGGGACCAGGTTGCCTCGGAATCCATGTACCTAATCTCTGAGTTTCCATCCTTGTTTGTTTACTCCTGGGTGATGTTTTCCCACAGCCTTCAGCAATGCGCTCCACTCCTTGGATGGGGCCACATCTCGTGCAGATTTCGTGGCCTTCTTGGATCAGTTTGGCAACCATTACATCCAGGAAGCTGTCTATGGCTTTGAGGAATCCTGTTCTATATGGTACCCAAATAAGCAAGTTCAACGGCGACTCTGGCTGGAATATGAAGATATCAGTAAAGGTGAGTGGGTGGCTCAGTGGCAAATTCTACACCTGTGCAAGGACTACCAGCCCACCAGATAAAAGATTAATTCATAGTTCCCCCAATTCTGTGTGCTTATCTGTGAAATTTCTAAGGTCAGGTTGCTAAACTCAAATCTCAAAAAGAGGTTATTAAATGATGGAGGATGAGACCACAAGCATGTGTTCATTGTGCTAGTTACTATAGCTATAGAGTTTTATTCTATATATACTATATAGCGTGCCAACCACTAAAGGGTGACAGATGCCATCCATGCTGCTGCTATGAAACAGGAGGGAAGGAAGAGAAGGTTCCAGTCCATTTACCCACAGCAACACCAACACACTGCCTCTTAACCTCTCACAGGAATGACAGACTAAGTCCCTTCTCATTCTAACTTGCACTATACTTAGGTTTATTCTCCATTTTCCCTATTGATTTGTGTTTTGAAGAACTGTCATAAGTGTTGGGTGGCAGACTTAAAAATAAATCTTTGTTCCCCGTATCTGAACAGCAGGTGACTGACCGGAAGCCCCTTTGCTGTACAGTAGTGGTGCCATCCTGAGTATTTTTAATCTTATCAAGACGGATTTAGCATTGCCATTCTCGGACTTCCTCCTGATCCAATCTGCATGGTATTCTGTTGAGAGCTAGTTATGGATGTGCAAGCTGCTAACTTTGGGGAAGTCTTGAAATGATACAGTGAGATTCAAGAAATGGGACATCTTATCGATTATGAATCAAAATTTTCTTTGAGACTAGAGCCCCTTTGCCATCAGCAATGCTACCAAAAGAATAATTAGGTCTGTAGCCTGAGTGTTCTTGTTTCTGGGAGCTCCATACAACCTCCCAATTTCCTTGTTCAACAGGATGCAGAATTATGATGGCTTCCCTTCTGGCTGGTTTCTTTCTGCAGGACCAAGGGATTAATCTCTGAGTCTCAGTGGCTGTAGGAATATCCCTCTAAACCAGAGTCCTCTGAAGTCATAGAGGCTTCAACCTCAGGCTTCTCAAACTTTGGAATCTGAACAATATTCTGAATGCAATTTGCCAAGAGAACAGTGTAATGTAAGTGAGTGTAGATAAGATCAGTTCCAACTGGCAAAACTGTCTGAAGTCTCTGTTCCAGAGCCCAGGGACCAGATCACAAGGCTGAATCCCTTGCTATTCCTGCCTGCCAGGGGCTCAGGGATTGCCAGGGCCTGGGATTTCTGGAAGATGAGCGCCTGACCTTGCTCCGAGCTCCTGACTCTACATGATGCTTCTGTCCAGACACAGTACTGTCCTTAAAGAGAAACTGAGCCCAGTGGGGAAATTTGTTAAAGCCTTGGCATTGCCCCTTGCTTCCCTTGATGGGAAGCCTCTTTTGCCACTCAGGATGCAGCTTTGCCACAAGCCAACTGTTGACTTGAGTTCAAAGAAATATGATCGATGTAGCTTCCTGTTTGATATTTACATTTAAAAGTATTTAATCATTTTAGCTTACTTCAGCTATGCCTAACTTGCAAGATGTTGTGGGGAGCCACTGCCCATGTTCACCATGCGGCTCCCCATTCTTGAGACTTCTCTGGAAGCTACAGGATTCATCTGTTTTGTCGTTTGTTTGGGTTTTTAAGTTTTTTGGTTGTGAGCCTAGCCTTTAGTGGCTGAGCCATCCCTCCAGGCCTGGGTTCTTAATTATAAACTGGGGCATCAATCTCCCTTTTCTCTAAAACACAGTCATTTGTTACCATTCCTGTTGTGCTATTGTTTCTTGCAGTTGTTGCCAGTGGTGACAGTGGTGGTTGTCATGGGTAGAAAAGCCCTTCTGGTAAGGACATGTGGGCATTGCTGTAGGCACTTGGCGTTACTCACATGTGACTGATGATAACTTAGAGATGCGTGTTTTAGGCCGGATCTTAGAGGGCAGCTCTTCATGAAGTAGTCTTTACTTCTCATGATACCATTTTGGATTAAATATCTCTACATGAATCTTTAGGAAACCCGTGGGGAAAAATATGCCTCCATTTCTTATATCTAAAATAAAACTTAATCACTTTCTTTGCCTTTCTTCTCCCTTTGTTTCTCTCTTTTTCACAAAAAAAAGAACATAAATAGACTTTTCCAGTAGCCTTTGTCCCCATATATAAATATCTAAAGATGCCTGTGTCTCATCTCATCATCCTTTACTCTTGAGCCCAGAAAACAAGACGGTCTTCCGTTTCAGACCAACCTCTCCGCCGGTGTTTTGGCTGCCAGCTGTCTTGTTTCACCTTACCTCTTGCTCGTTAATTATGTCCTTTTAAGCATTTACAATGTCTGCAGCCACTGAGTTCTTCCTTTCCTAATGCTGAGTCTTTGAAATCTCATCTTCTCATGAATGTGAGCCCCCTGCGTTTTAACCACTGTTTACTTAAAATACATTCTCAATGAATTTCTTAAGAGTTTCCGTGTCATGCCTCTGCTTCCTCTCCTTGGCTTCATTTCCACTCTTCCAGTTGTTTTTTAACAGCACTGGAGGAGGAGAAAATCAAGGACTTTTTAATCAGTGCCACCATCATTTATTCTATGACCACTCCATCTATCTTATCTATAGATTTTTCTACCATCATGCCTCTCCTTAAAACTCGTCTCTTCCCATGATGTTCCTATTGCTGTTCTGTTCATATTCTTTTCCTATGTCTTTAACCTTTAGTTTTATCCTCTTTGCCCTCACCCCCTTAAAGGAATCATTTGCATATAGAAGGGTCATGCAAAGCTTTCGTTTTTTGGAAGATTTATTCTTTCCTTCCCTCCCTTCCTCCCTCCCTCCTTCTCTCAATCTCTCACTGTTTCTCTCTCCGTCCCTCCCTCCCCCTCCCTTATTTCTCTCCCTCCCTCTCCCTCTCCCTCTCCGTGTGTGTGTGTGTGTGTGTGTGTGTGTGTGTGTGTGTGTTTGGGGGTGGGGCAGAGGTGTGACCATGCCCAAAGTGTCAAAGAGAGCATCAGATTATTTTGGAGCGAGAGTTGCTGGTGGTTGTGAGCCAGCAGATTTGGATGATAGGCACTGAGCTCCGGTCCTCTGGAAGAGCAGCAGATGCTCTTACCCACCGAGTCACCTTTCCATCCTCATTTCATCTTTGCTATTGCTTCCTTCTTTGCCCATGTTGGGTGAGTTCCATCTGAATCCTCAGCTCCCACCCCAGAATCATTCCTTTTCTCCAAGAATCAGCACTTCATTGCTACTGAATGTTCAAGTCAATATTAATACCTGCGTTTTCTCTAGATGCCCCAGTGACCAACATCTGGCTTCCCTGTGGCCACTAGATTCTAAACCCATGTAAGGCACAAAAATTAAAGTGGAGAGAGTCTTGGTATTTCTGATCCTTTGCACTCAACCATATGAAGTTATAACCTCTTCTCCACCTAGATATTTTCTCAACACAGGCCTCCTCTTTTGCATTTCCTCAAGGCTGAGTTTACAATATCAATTGGCATAGCAATAATTCAGATAGAAGAGAATAAAGGGGGCGGGGAGAGAAAGAGTGAGAGACTGGTATATACTGTGCTGTAATAGCAGGAATTAAGTCCTGATATGCATTTCACAGTAGGCTGAATATAGTTAACTGTAGTGTTATCATATTCTCAGTAGCTAGAAGAGAACATTTGAGTGTATTCATCCTGAATAAGTGATCAAAATTTAAGGTGATGGATATACTAATCACCTTGCTTTGATTACCGCATTCAAACATACATCAGGCACATACACAATATGCATCAGTCAACACATCATGCTGTATCCATAAATCTGTATAGCTTCTATATCAATAAGAACACCATTTAAATGGTTTCCTCCTGTAACTCCTTTGCTTCTGTTTCCTGCCATCTCACTACATTCTAAAAGACACCATCTGTTACCTTTTAAAAATGCAATTTAGTGGCATTGCTCCTCAGCTTGATGCCGTATGCTTATTGGATCCTGCTGTCTCAGCACGAGAAGTACAGCTTCCCTTCCTGTATCAGGTTCCTGTTGCTGCTGTAACAAATGACACAGTCCTGACACCTTAATATAAATTCACCCTCTTCTAGTTCTGGAAGGCAGCAGTCCAGATCTAGTCTCAGTGGGCTGAGCAAGAGCTTCCCCAGGTCCAAGCTCTCCCTGGTTGCACTGAAGCTCTTCAGGCCTGAATAGCACATCAACCCAACCTTGACCACCATTCTGGATCTTCCAAGCACTTGGCAAGAACTAACTAGAGGGACCCCATTCTCACAAGGCCTCCCTGACTCCAGGCACAGTTCTTGGCACCCCGCTTCCTGCTTCTATCAGGCTTTGCAGATTCTCTGCAGCGTTCTTCATGTGCCCCTGTGCTGTCATTTCCATGTGGGATTGTCTCCCATAATGATGGCGTTGTTGGCACTATTTTTAATTTCAAGTATATTTGCTTAAAATAGTCAAAGTGCATAAAACAGAATAAAATGAGAAATAAATTCTTTCCCTAACCTTATTTCCTGGTATTCTACTCATCAGAGGCAAGAAGACAGTTATTACTTCCAGCTTACTGTATGTAGCAGGCTTTCTTTTGGACCACCATCCAGCTCCCAAATCATAACGCAGAAACTTATTATTAGTTGTGAATATTCGGCCTTATCTTATGGTTGTCCCACTAGCTCTTATAATATATTGTATATAGCTCTTATATATCTGTTTCTCTTCACCTATGTTTTTACCCTTGGGGCTTTTATGTCCTACTCAGGGTTGCTGGCTAGCAGTTGTGCATGGCCCCAGCCATCTCCCTCTCTGTCTCCCTCATTCTCTTCTCCCTTCTCTAGTATTCCTCCTACTTAATCTCCTTTCCTGACAATCCATCTATCCCACTACTGCCTAGCTTTTGGCCATTCAGCTTTTTATTAGACCAATCAGGTGCCTTCGGCAGGCAAGCTGAAACAGTGACACATCTTTACATAATTAAATAAATGCAGCACAAACAAACGCAACACATCTTTGCATAAACAAATGCAACATAAGCAAATGTAACACATCT